GATGCAAATTGCTGATGTAAGTGTCAGGTCCTGTACCTACAGAACCCTAATCTTTGTTTTCTCATTGCTTGCTTGAGTTTGAAAAAATAATTGTGCCTTTTTTGACCTCTTGATGTGCAAGCTGTTGTGCAGAGGAGAATACACTTGTTGCTTATGCTTGCTGTTTCTCTCTTTCCAAAGTACAGTAAGGTATCCAGGATGGTTGAGGAATTCCAGCCATACTATGATCTCTGGACTACAGTGTCCGACTGGATACAGTGGAATGAGAGGTGGATGAATGGTCCTCTCATGGAAATTGAGACTGAGCAGCTTGAAAAGAATGTCAGTGACTTGTTTGAGACAATGCAGAGATGTGTGGAGCAGTTCAAGGATTCACCAGGTAGATATGCAGGCTGGGGAAAGGAGGTTGGTGCATATCAGGATTTTGATGTGAGGTGTGTCACACAGTGTTCTGAACAAGGATTGTCTAGATGTTATAGGGATGTGTTGTGTGTGCTAGAGCCAGCTGAGAACATGCTAGCAAGGTTATTTTCCTTTTTTTTTTTTTTTCATGGAACTATGATGATTCACATCTAGGTGCTAGTTTGCTGCTTGAAGTGCCAGTTTGGCTGCAAATCCCTTTCATACCTAATTTCCAAGACAGTACTGAAATAAAAGCTGCCCTTGTATATTGCAATTAATATTTACTCATTTCTGCAAAGGAAAATAATCTAGAATAGCTATAGAAAATTACTTTAAAACTCAGTGGCTAGACATGTTGGTTATAAGCCCTTATGCAGTTCAGAGATCAAAAGAACTTTGAATCTGGGTCTTGTGGGTGCTGTTTTCTTGGCCAATCTTATTTTTTCTATTGTCAATGTTGTGAGTTAACCCCACATAGCAATTAAGCACCACAAAGCCACTGGCTTACTCCTCCCAGGTGGGGTAGGGGAGAGAATAGAGAGAGGAAAAAAGAAATAGTAAAACTCATGGGTTGAGATACAGACAGTTTAATAGGGCAGAAAGGGATGGTAAAGTAATAATAATTATAATAATAAGGGAATATACAAAGCAAGTGATGCACAATGCAATTGCTTGCCAAGCTGCCAAGCCAGTCACTGAGCTGCAGTGTCACCCGGCCAGCTCCCTCCAGTCCATGTACTGGGCATGTCAGAAGCTATGGAATAGACCTTTGGCTCAGCTATCCTTGCTGTGTCCCTTCCCAGCTTCTGGTGACCCCCCAGCCTCTGCTGGCCGGGCAGTATGAGAACCTGCAGTCTTTGACTTAGTATAAGCACTGCTTAGCAACAACTAAAGCATCAGTGTGTTATCAGCGTCACTCTCATCCTAAATCCAAAGCGCAGCACTTGATCATCCTCTAGGAGGAAAATTAACTTTATTCCAGCTGAAACCAGGACAGCCAATGACTTTAATGGAAAGCCAGAAGAGATCTTGATTTTGTTATTAGTAAAATGAAATTGCAAAATCTGGAGATGATCTGTGGAATATAATAATACTTTTCCTTCCTGCTTGAATGTGTGTGCAGTTCAGCTGATCACATCCAGCCCTTGCAATTCACGTGAAGGTCTTTTAATCATGGCTTCTAGTAAAGCTGGAATTGAGGCTTCAGTTGTAACTTGACTTCCCATTCCATGATTCTCGGAAATATATTGGTCATTCTTTAGAAGTAATTCTAAAATCTCCTGCCAGATGGCTTAGATTGAAATATATATTTTTAGTGGGAGATTTTTGATTCATCCTTTTTAACTTGAACTCTCTCTTAAACAATGCCATGAATCAGCTCCAATGGAGGAGGTGATGAGTGGATGCATGAGTAACTATGAATCATTATGGTAAACAGAAATACTAAGAATACCTGCTCATACTCATTACAATATTCCCTTGCACCTGGCAAAATACATGCTTTGTCCTTGAGTCTGCCTTGTCTTTCCAGCCACCCAGCAGAGAGTGTGAGGAGATCACATCCTTGCTGTGGGGATGCGGTGCAACCACGCAGGGTGCAACAAAAGGAGGCACATGCTGCAGCCAGATTTTGGAAGGGAAGCGAGTCCCATGTTCTTTGCCTGTCCATTGCTTTACTCACAATAGCACTAGCCAAAAAAAAGGCAGGATATGAACAGTGCAGAGACCTGGGCCTCCAAGGACACCCTCAGAGGGCAAAGCCCTTTCCTTGGCTCTGTCCTTCCTATGACATAGAAGTCCCTTTGGCTCTAGTGTGGCCACAGGCTGGCAGGACCTCCCTTGCATGCTTACTGTTTCTGAAGCTGGTTATGATCCTAGCCTACTTCTACCTCCTATATATAGTGTCCATCTTCTATTTAGGATGGCCTGAGCTGAGGTGTGAGATAACTCACAGCCCAATCTGGATCTTCTAAAATATCTGTTGACAGATGGGGCTTCATCATGTTTTGGCCCATATTAAGAAATTAAGTTTGTTTGCTTCTTGCCTTCTGGTGAGCTCTAGCACGTTTCTGCTTAGCATGGGCTTCCCTGTAAGACTTTTGGGTAGTAGGCAGGTTTGCTTCTGGTATTGGGCTTGAATCCTTTGTTAGTAGCCATGTGGAGAGAGTTTTTGTGTCCTCATTACTTAATCCTGCATTTTCCAGTGCTCTCTCCTGCTATTTCTGTGCCTCACACCATGTGTCTACAAGCACATCAGGCTTTAGAAACTTCTAAGAAGTTCCTTAAAGCAGCTCCCTGACACACTGTTGTTACTGATATTCTTCTTGTTTCTCTCCCTGAAAGCCTGCCTGGGTGTGGCAGTGGAGTTTAAAGACAAGATTGAAGAATTCAAACGCTACATCCCCTTAATTCAGGGGCTGCTCAACCCTGACATGAGAAGCCGGCACTGGGAGATGCTGTCAAAAGATACCAACATCGATATCAAGCTAGAACCCAGTCTGACACTCAGTTACTGCTTGGACATGAACCTGTTGGACCATATTGAGACCATTACCCAAGTAGCTGAGACAGCTGGCAACGAATATCCCATTGAGAATGTGAGGAGAGAGGGACTTGCTGTGTCTTTACTTCTCAGATATGTTTCTGTTGAGCAGGCAGTTGTAGCCTTGGGTTATGTTCCTGTTGTCCCAGGGCACTGGACACGTTCTGCTGCTCAAGTAAATAGGCTGTTGCCCTCAGAGCCAGGAGTAATGTCCATGCAGCTGAATTCACACGCTAGAAATTGTTTTCTCTTGTGTAGAATTTACAGCTGTAGCATACCAGTGCTGCCTGGTGGTTCTGCTGATCCACTGGTTGGGTCTCACACCTCACTGTGGAGTTAGTGAGTTTAAGTTAAAATAAATGGATTGTCTGCACTCTGCCATTCAAATGTTATGTTGGGGAAATTAGCTGTGACTGGATCTGGAGGTGACAAATCCTTTAACACAGGAAACAAGTGCAGGGAAGACTTGCTGGCTTTGGAGATTCATGGGTTAGATAGTCTTTCAACTTCAGTTCACCAGTTCAGATGTGACCTGAGGTGGTCTTGATTGAAAATGATTGTGCTCTGGCAGCTTTTGTTCTTTGAAATCTCAGGCAAGAGCCAATGGATAGCTACCCTTTTCACAAAGCCATCATTAACCATAATAATTAATAGGCACTTTACTCGTAGGCTCTGTGCATCTAGTAGCATAAATGGGCCTGAAAATTTAACTGCCCTTTTCTCCCCCCAAGGTTTTCCTTTCAGGACAGTGTTGAGGTGTTGAGTCCTTGGGCAATGTAGAGGAAATGTGCTGTTGCTGTGTGTTGTGCATTAATTACACAGCTGCAGTTTCCAGTGGAATCCAGGAGCAAAAATCTGTCACTTGCTAGAGGGGGACATTAAGTGATTTGTGGAAGCTGGGATAATCAATGCACAGAGTGTATCTGAAAACTAAGTTGCTTGTCCCTCTGTTGCAGGCACTTGACAAGATGGAGAGTGAATGGAACTCGGTTTCATTGACTGTGACACCTTACAAAGACACAGGTACCTTTATTCTGGAAAACACGGATGAAGCTTCTCAGCTCCTCAGTGATCAGACTGTCATGGTTCAGAGCTTGTCCCTCTCACCGTTCAAGAACCATTTTGAGGAAAGGATGAACACATGGGAAAATAAGCTGAAGTTAACACAGGTATTGGTAGTTCTTACCCACACAGGTGTGAAGGCAGGCAGCTGGGCCATGCTTGAACATGGACACTGTGCAGTTGCTGCTAGGGAACCAAGAGGGCAACTGTCAAGACAATATCAATCTCAAGGGAGGAAGATTGCCTGTCAAAGCCCTCTGACTTTAGTAGAAGGGATAAACTCAGAGCCTTATATTCTGCAAACAGCAGTGATGAAATTTCAGCTCTTTTACTGCCTATTGCAACACTTTTTGGTAGGGCCAAGACTCTCCTGTTGCTGTGAATAGTCCTGCAGGCATCTCTAACCCCATTACACTAAGTGGACCTTACAGATTCTTACAGGCCCTGTTAAATCCATGCTAATCATTCACATCTCAGTGTAGGAAAGCACATGGAAGACTGCTCTTCAGAGCAGGATCTGGCAGACCATGCCAACACTTCATCAGACCAGAGGCTGAATGCTCAGCATCCAGCGGGACTCATCCAGCAGAATGTCACTTTGCTGCAGCATAAAGATTCCAATACAAGTATTTGGCTGGAGAACTCTGTGTAAATGCTGGTGTTTGATACATGGCAGCATTGTTATCTGTTATTCATTTTTACCTTTTTCTGTTTATTGGTGCTTACCATCTGGGTGTGCTTGGGCCATGAGCCAGCAGAGTGTTGGCTTTGTCTCATGAAGATATAGAAATGTTACTCTAAGCCTTGAGGCTAAGGTGACATGGGGAAATTCAGGTATTTACTCTGTAGTTTTGGCTGTGATGTTGTCCTTGTTTTTACCCTGCCTTTACTACCCCTCCTTTTGATTGTGTTCATTTCTGTCACTAAAGGCCCGTCAATCTGGTCTGGAAAAGGGCTTATCAGGGTTAGCTGATGGAATATGGCCAGCACCATTGTCTGCATTGCTGGAAAACCTCACCAGTTGTTAGGTTGAGTGGCTGCCTGTGGTCAGGGAAGAGTAAATAGCACCGTGTGACTAAGGCAGTCATGAAGGAAGTCAAACACTAGAGCTTCTTTGGAATGTTGGGCAGGTTCCCCATACCTTCCAACCTCTCATGCCTGAAAATGGAGGAGGAATATTCTTCCAACCTAATTCTCTTGCTCCTTTGAATGCCTGGCAGACAGGGTTTTCTATCTGGTGTCTAACTGAAATATTTAGCTTTTCATTCATTTTTGTTACTTCAGAGTGTTGTTCAAAAATCTTATCAAGGATTGTTCTGTAGGCAGGGCTGGGGCTGAGGTACATCAGGCAGGAGAGAGGATATGACAGAATTGCAGTCTGATATATTTTATTTGTCATTCTCCCCCCCAAAAAGCTCTTTGCACTAAATAAAATCACCATCTTACTGTGTGCTGACACTGTGTTGCTACCTTGTGTAAAATAGAGAAGCAGTAGCCACAGAAATTTCACCTTGCTCCCCAAAGTCCCTTTGAGGTTTGGCATTGGCTTCCACACAGAGCTGAACTACCCCCGTTAAACTAGTGGGTGTTGATTCTGATGCCAACTACAGTTAGCAAAGGGGATTGGTAGGAACCTTAATTATGTGACAAGGAAATTCCAGCTCCTGACACTGCAGGAAGATTTTAGAATTGTGGAAGGTTTAAATTGAGCATCACCTCTTTTTTCTATTTTTTTTTTTCTTTTCTTTTTTAAACCCATTCTGGTGCACAGTTTGTGAATGGTTTTGTTGTACAGGTTTACAGCATGGTGTCCTGAGACTCTCCTCTTCCTTCCCACTAGGATGTCCTAGAGGAATGGCTGAAATGCCAGCACTCTTGGCTCTACTTGGAGCCCATCTTTAGGTCAGAGAACATCGCAAGTCAGCTCCCATTGGAAAGCCAGCACTACCAGGCCATAGATAAGGACTGGAGGAACATCATGAAGAATGCTAATGAAAACCCTAAGGTGTGCACCTTGATGAAAGCTAGTGCAGGTATCCCAGACTCCTTGGAGCTGTTTCTGTGTCCTGGCAGTGCTCTGTGCTCTTCTGTTCTCTAGTCTCCACTGCCCAGGGCTCCATCACCACTTGGTATTCCATATTACAAATGCTGGTGGTTAGGGGAACCCAGAAATGTGCTCATCACATCAGTAAGTGCTGTTTTGGCTCCTTGTCCACAGAGCTTACACTTCTCCAGACCCCTGTGAAGCCCTCCTGTGAATGACTCATTTAAATCCCATTAGTAATATCACTGGGCAACCCAGTTATCTCTACTGCCTTATCTCCCACGTGCTCAGAATACTGATGCTTCTGCTGTTCTCCATTCTGTCTATAGGTCATTTCTTTGTGCCCAGATCCTACACTATTAGAAAACCTGCAGAAATGTAAGGAACTACAGGAACTGGTGCGGCAAGGGCTAAGTGAATATCTGGAGAGCCAGAGAAATGATTTTCCCAGGTAATCCCAAATTTCAGTGGGCTGGATCACACTCCCTGGTTCAGAAAATGAGAGTCTCACTGCAGTTCACTCTGCCAAGAAAGCGCCAAACAATCTAAGCTTAGGATATTGTCATGGGACTGCAAACATAAGCAAGGCTGTGCCTTTCAGTGCTGCCACCTGATGGGGAGAAAACAGGCAGACACATGTTGTGAGTTAAGGGCAGTCTGGTAGCACGGTTGCATATCTGTGCCTCTTGATTTGTCTAGAAAGGATGGGGTAAAATGAAGACTGCCATGTAACTCCATCCCCTATTCCTGAAGGAATACTTCTTTCTTTGATATTCAGTTTGCAGGGGAATATCTGGCTTGTGCAGATGAAGTGAGTCTCTACAGAGGGGCAGATGGTTCGACTGTGGTTGTTGCTCACCTGCACAAATACAAAGAGATCAGTGAGCAGGCAAAGCCAGTGTCTCTAGCAAGAGGCTTGTTCCTCTTCTTGCCAGGACTTGGCCCATGATGCTACAGTAAAGAGCCTCACCTCATGCCTTGCTCTGTGTTTCTAGGTTCCAATTCCTTTCAGATGATGAGCTGTTGGAGATACTGTTTCCTACAGAAGACCGTACTGCTAAGTGAAGTACTGGGGCCTGAACAATATGCCCACCTCTTATGTTGACCATACCAGATACTGCTACTTTAATAAAAAAGGTTCAGAAACATCCAGGAACTTGATGTGCTGTAATCGATTTGGCTAATGCCTTTTTTACTATCCTGATTGCAGAGGAATATTGGGATCAATTGGCCTTTCATGGTAGAGGTGACAGGATACTTTTACCAGATGGCTGCAGGGATGGTTGCATAGTCCAACCACTTGCCATCAAACAGTGACTGAACACCTGGATGAGATAAACCTGCATCCTCATATGCAAATAATTAATTATATAGATAACATGAGTCAGGGGAGCAATGAGGAGGAGGTGCAATAAATACTTGATTTGGTTGTGGATCATATAAAACAGAAAGGCTGGGCAATTAATCCTACTAAAATTCAAGGACTGTCCCAGATGGTGGTATTTTTAGGAATCAAGTGGCATTGTGGGCATTGGGAAATATTACCCAAAGCCCAACAGAAAAGTTTGGATTTCACAATACCACAAAATAAAAATGAAGCAGAGAGATCTATCAGACTGTTTGGCTTTTGGAGACAAGATGTTCTGCATTTAGGACAAATCTTAACCCTGTTACATAAAGTAACAAGGAAAAAATGTGAGTTTGAGTGTAGAAGTGAACAGCAAGCTGCCTTTGAGTTAGCAAAGAAGGCTGTTCAAAAGGCTTTGGATTTATGGCCCATGCAAAAAGGAGAAGTGGAGTTCTGTAAATAGGTTACATGCCAATTGGAGCCTCTGGCACAGATGCACTTCATGTCCTTAACAATAGGCCCATCGGGGAAATGGGGACCCCCTTGGTGCACATGACTACACCCAATTTGCAGATAAAACCATTAGCAGTGAGTGAGACTTTGAGTTCCTGGGAAGTTGTTCAGGGTTTGATGGCTCCCTACCAAGTCACTCCAGAGGCTGCTGGACTGGATCTCTCTGTGTTAGAATTGGTAAGAATAAATCAAAGAGAGATGAGAGTTATCAACACAGGGATAGGAATTCAGATTCCTCCAGGACACTTTGGTTTGATAACTGCTCAGTCAAGCCTAGCCCTGAAGAGTATTCATGTTATGGGAGGAGTGATTGAGGCAGATTATCAAGGAAAAATTAAAGTAATCCTGTTAAACAATGGTGAATAAAATGTGGTTATTCACACCCATGATGGAATAGCACAATTATTAGTATTTCCAGTTTTAAAAACAATTGGGGAAAAAAGAAAATCCACCTCAAGTCACCACCATTTGTAGAGATAAAGCGTTTGGATCCACCAGTTTTAAGAATGGAGCTAAAATATGGGTCCAAAGCCCAAA